TTCACTCTAATCTCACGCAGCGACTCACACCCGTAATCCCAGCAACTCCGAAGGCTGAAGCAGGAGGATGACAAGTTTCAGGCCAGGGTCTGCAACTTCGTGAGGCCCTAAGCAACTGAGCCAGACCCTGTCTCAAATAAAAAATTTAAAAGAACTGGGGGTGTTGCTCAGTGGTTAAGCACCCCTACGTTCAATCCCCAGTACTAAAAGAAGAAGAAGAAAAAAAAGATTAAAGAAGTGGCTGAGAGGTCATTTTACAGTCCTCCTAGAGTTCTTATAACTTCCAGGGATGCAGACAAACAGCAGCAGCAAGGGTCAAGAGACTTACAGAGTAAGTCCCAGCAAGTTCCTTGGGCTTCCTGCTGGGAGGCTCTGAGCATGTGCAGTGCTCACAGTGGGGAAGTCAGGGCAATTTCTCTCCCTGAGTATTTTGAAGACTAGGCCTTATAACCCCTCTGCCTCTGGATTGCTGAAAAAAAAAAATTCTCCTGGAGGCCAGAGTGGCTGCTCTTTCACAGCAATCCTGTCCGTGGGGCCTGTTGGTATCTTTCCCAAACCTCTGTGCCACCCTCAACTCTGCCAAAAGACCACTGTGTCCTTAGTCTCTGGGTTGTGATTGTATCAGACACATCTGGGGCTTTGCCCCAGCAATCCTCAGGAGCCTTATATTTTAACTCCAGCTGTTGCAGCCCCACCAGTTGAGTGCAGGCATTATCTGTCAGACCCTAGGCCCAAGGCTTCCCTGACTCAGCCCCATGAGGTCCTGGGAGTACAGTGGAGGCCCACTCAGCTAGTGCAGGCTAGTGCAGAGGACAGCCCCTAGGTGAGTGAGTATTCTCCAAGCAGGCAATGTGGGGTTCAGCATACCCAGCTCCTCAGACATACCCAGTGAGTTTGAGTTGCCCACCCCATCATCTCAGAGCTGCCCCGGATGGTTTTTCCCTATTTCACTCATCTCAGACCCCGACGGCTGACCTCACATCACCTCCAATATAAACTACCTGCACACAAGCTCCTGTTTCTGTCTCTCCCTTTTCAGACAAATGCTTGTATTAGTTTGTATTAGTTGGCTAGGCTGCTGTAACAAAATACCACAGACCATTATCTCTTTATGGGTTCTAGAGGCAGGAAGTCCAAAATGAAGATGGCAGGAGGGTTGGATTCCTGAGGCCTTTTTCCTACCACCTACCCACTTTCTGCTTTGACCTCACAATTTCATCCCTCTGCGGACAAAGCCCCTGGTGTCACTCTGTAGGTTCTAATCTTTTCGTCTAAGAAGAACACCAGTTGGACCAGATTAAAGTTGCCCTATTGGCCTCATTTTAACTTAACTATCTCCAAATACAGTCACATTCTGAGATACTTGAGGATTAGAACTTCCATATATAAATTCAGGGTGGGGACACAATTCAGCTCTTAACAACATTTATATTAGACCAAGTCACTCATGAGACAACCTGGGGGCTTTTAAGGGAATATTCTATGAAACATTGGCGATTGCCCATCAGCCTCAAGACTGTTCCTTTGGTGCTAAGGTGCAAGGTGTGTGGGGCGGGGTGAAGGGGAGCTGAAATAACCCAGAGCCAACAAGCATAGCAACACATTGTTTCTTTTGTGGATGCAATTTCAGATCCTCTTCCTCTTCCTGCATTAATGGGGGCAGTTGACCAGGAAAAGCATACATTTAGCATACTGGTTTCACATACTTCTGATATGATCTCTTCGAGCCTCAGTTTCCCACTGTGCAAAGTGGTTGTGAGGATTAAATCAAGCACGGTTTTTAGGACTGACTGAAATAAGCCAGGTGCTCTCTTGATGTATGATTGAAGTCATGAATGAATGCCTAAAAGAATAGGCTGCTTAGGGCCGACCATTGGTCCTAGGGATGATGGGCACGGTAACCTTCACTCAACCCCAAGTTCCTTAACCCTTCACCTCTCACTTAGAAGTTCAGGTGAGAGGCACAGGGGTCTACACGCGTACCTAAGGTGATCACAGGGCTTTGGGTCCCTGCCCCTGTCAGCAGCTGCTGGCCCTCCCAGCCAGTGTGTGAATCCCAGTTGGGGCCCCTGCTTTGACCCTATGTCCTGCTGGAATCTGGACAAGAACTCTGACAAAGTTAGTCCTGGGGCCAAAGTCTAGAATGGCAAAGAAGTATGTTCATATGAACAAAGGGGAGTGGGCAGGTCAGAATCAGGACCTAGGAAATGTCTGCCGCTCCTCAGCAGGAGAGACCAGCTCTTCCTAACCACAGGTGGGCCCAGTCCGCCTGGCAGTCTGTGATCTGAAGGATCCGACGGTGTATATGAGATATTATTTTTAAAGACTGACTCATGCTGCTAAGATTAATAAGACCATGCATATTTAGAAATGTTTTTAAACGTATAGGTTTTTATCCTTTGCATCTTTTCAATGAACTAAAAGTACACACATTGACTGTCATGCAATTTTTTTTTTAATGTTCAAAAGGGCTCCTCCTACTCAAAAAGACTGGGTACCACCCAGGAGATGTTTCAGAGTTCAGCCACTTAGGTGCCATCGGAAGAGCTGTTACTAATAACAAAAACTCCAATGCCAGCTGGCTTGTATAGAGTGCGTTTTCTATCCCAAACTCTGTACCAAGTGCTTTATGGGTGTCTGATCTGGATGCACTTTCCCTGGACCAGTGTCCCCTTCCTTCTGTCCCTCCTCTTTGACACTGAGACACCTCTGCCTTCTTTTAGGATTGTTTGTGGATTTATGCAAGCTCCTCCAGGGCCAGGTGCTGCCCTGCTCCATTTGGGGTCCTCAGGGTCAAGGAGAGGGTAGCCCCTCTTTAATTGTTTGGTGATGAGGCTCAATATTTGTACCTTTGTCCAGTTCAGAGAAGGGAAGAGGAGCTGGTTCGCTCTGCCCAGCCAGCCTTCCTCATGCAGTTCTGAGTGGTTCATGTGGCCAAGCTGGCCTTGCTCACTCTTAAATTGTAAAAGACAAGGTACCATGGAAGCCACAGCCTCTGAAGCTCCTGCTGTGCCTTAGGCGAAGGCTGATGGCCTAAGACATTTGAGAAAGGACGGTTCAGTCAGTTCCACTGGCTCTGGGTCTCCTGATGCTGGCATCTCTTCCTAGCCGTGTCCAGCTGCACATATGGTTCTGTGTCCCACTGAGTGTCGTGCATCAGTGTGAGTCTCAAAAATGCTCCTGACGCATCCCCTGCAATCCCAGAACTTTCTAAGGTCATGAGTAAAGAGGGCGCCTCTATAGATGGCTCCTTGGGGATCTCACCTCTCCTCTCTGTCTCCCTCTCCAGGCTTCCTCCTGACCTTGGCACTGACCGAAGCACTGGTACTTGCTGTCCAGGAACCATCTCCCAGGGAATCTCTCCAGGTCCTCCCCTCACGCAGTCCCCCAGGCACCATGGTGACAGCATCCCACAGCCCTACTAGACCCTCCTCCACGGCGCTGAACCCCCATCCCGATGGACCCTCCTCACAGGCCGCAGCTACCACGGCAACGACAGCCCATCCAGATGGGCACCCTCCTACAAACACTGTTCCCACCGTCATGGTGACAGCAACCACCCCCCATCCTGAAAGGCCCCTGCTCACAGGTTCCCCTCCAGTTCCTATGGCAACCACACCCTCGCATTCAGAGGGCCGCCCCCCTGGGGAGGCCGCCCCCACCATCCTGCTGACAAAGCCAACAGGAGTCACCAGCCGGCCCACCGCAGCGGTCCCCCGGGCTACCACCCGCCGGCCCCCCAGACCCCCCGGCTCTTCCCGAAAGGGGGCTGGGGGTTCATCGCGCCCTGTCCCACCTGCCCCCGGCGGCTACTCTGGGAGGAAAGAAGGCCACCGAGGACGCAATCAGAGCTCCACGCACCTGGGGCCCAAGCGACCCCTGGGGAAGATATTTCAGATCTACAAGGGCAACTTCACAGGGTCTGTGGACCCCGAACCCTTTGCCCTTTCCCCCAGGACCCCACCCTGGGGGAACTCCTCTTCGCCACAGCCCCAGACAGTGGCTGTGACCACAGCATCCGGAAGTACCTCGTGGGCACCCCCCACTACCCCTGCGGTGCCTGCAGAGGACAAGCCAGGCCTTAGCAGAGCAGACCAGGGGGGTGTCCCCACCTTCACCAGCCCAGGAGGGGAGCCGGTCGCCACAGCCGCCTCAGGTGCCCCTGCCCGTCCACAACCTGCCCCAGTGCCTTCTCAACGCCCCCGTGGTGACGTGCAAGACAGCCCCAGCCACAGTGACTCTTGGCTTACTGTCACCCCTGGCACCAATAGACCTCTGTCTGGCAGCTCTGGGGTCTTCACAGCTGCCCCGGGGTCCACCCAGGCTGCCTTTGATGCCAGTGGCTCAGCCCCTTCCCAGGGGATTCCTCAGGGAGCATCCACAACCCCAAAGGTCCCAGCCCGTCCCCCGGGGGCCTCAGAAAACACTGTTTCTCCAGCCGAGGAGGAGGCTGCGGCCTCCCCCACCGTGACCGACAGGGTGCCCAGTCCTCTCTCCACAGTGGTGTCCACAGCCACAGGAAACTTCCTCAACCGCCTGGTCCCCGCCGGGACCTGGAAGCCCGGAACAGCAGGGAACATCTCCCACGTGGCTGAAGGAGACAAGCCCCAGCACAGAACCACCATCTGCCTGAGCAAGATGGACATCGTCTGGGTGATCCTGGCCATCAGCGTACCCATCTCCTCCTGCTGTAAGTACCTCGCTTCTCCCCACTCCCCTCCCTCCTCCCTCTCCGCCCACCATGCCAACAGTACTCACCCTTCGCCCTAGAGTTCTCCCACCCCCACCAAGTGGGCTGCAAGGCTCCCGGAGTCCCAGGAAACCAGGGAGCAGGTGAAGAATCACGGCTTCTCCCTGTCCCTGGTTCTGGGCCCCGCCAGGCCATGGCTCAAATGTCCACAGGTCATAAAGCCACAGTTCCCAAGAGCTGGGGAGGACCTTACAGACAATCTAATCCAACCATGTATTTTTCAGGAAAAAAAAGACAAAAAGAAACTTACCCAGGTTCCAAGAGTCAAAGGCAGGGCTGGGACGGGACCTCAGAGCACCTTCCAGCGAGTGCTCCTGCCATCACACTGACCTCCCTCCAGGGCAGCCTGCCAGACCCTGCAGTAACGTGGCATGAAGTCAGTGGGTGAAAGCTGAGCCTTCCAAAGAAACAGCCTCCAACCAGCCAAGTCCTCACTGACCTCTCCTCCCCCGCGTTCCTTCTTGTCTTTTCATTCCTTTCCTCCTCACTCCCTTCTCTGGAGAGACAAGAGGAGGTAATGCTCCCATGCAGTGGGGAGTTCCATTGGCCTTGGCAAAAAAAAAAAAAAAAACCACATGGCTCTTGCAGCAAAAGGAAGGCTTGAGAGTTATGTGGTTATGTGCATTTTAGCTCCTCTCCACCTGCACGCCACCCCCCAGCCCGCTTTATTTGTTCTTGGGTGGTATGAGCTGGGTGCAGGGTGGACCTCATCCTTCCATTTTGCTCTCGTGAGGTCCACCAGCATCTCCTTACTGCTGCCTGTCCCCGTGTGAGGAGTGAGGAGTCGGGGGACATTTTCCCTGATGTCTCCATAAAGAGTGGAGGGCTTCCTTCGTCTTCTCCGGGTGGTTGATCTTCTATTCTCAGTTTCTCTGGTAACGTTGCAAGAGTCTTCACTGGCCTCAGCCCCATCCCACCCCACCTGGTTGCCATCCAGCCACCCCCCGGACCCTTCTAGGGATGAGAGCTCCCACCATACTCCTCACTCCCTGGACAGCCTCTTCTTCTTGGACCCTTCAGGATTTCTCCCGCTCTCCTGGGGGCCTGAAGTTGGCCCCCCTTATAATTTTTACCCCATGACCCCAAGCTGTGCCTTCTGAAACCACACAAATCAGTCCATCTAACCATCCAGGAGCAATGGAATGGCTCTCAAGGGCAGCGTTCTTTGTCCAATCTGCTCATCCTTGACCTTCGAGTCTCCTTCATAGGGCTGCCTTGGCCCCGGTCCTGTCCCCCATCTGTCCCCTCTGTATGGCCACCACTTTATTCCTGTTTACCTAGAAAGGAACACAGTTTTTCACACATGCCCAGCCATGACGGAGGAAGCTAACGGTGGACGCTTTGGCCACAGTCAACCTGCGCTGGCCTCAGCCCTGTTGGTTGTACTGACTTGAGGTCATGCCACGGGCTCACCTTGATCTCAACAGGCTTCCCACAGGGCAGGGGCCTCCTCCAGTGCAGGCTGTGAACCCAGGACCCCCGGCTTCTCTCATGCCATGGATTAGTGCAAGCGGTCCGTGCCTTTAACATGAGCTGTGATTTCCGCTTGGCATTAGACTCCCCCCCAGATATTTTCTAATCTGGAATCTAGATTCTTCCCAGGCGCCACTTCCGCCTGCTCATTAAGCCACACAAACTTTCCGTGTTTGCAGGCAGCCTGCTGCTGCTCTAGGACCCTAATCAGGAAAAGTGAAAATATTTGCAAGTTGCATATTTCATTCTTAATAAAAGCAGCTGTATCGTCTCTCATGGAAACACATAATTTATAAACTGCGATTGCCTACTTCTAAAATGGAAGAATGATAATGAGACAATGTAGCACTCTTGGCCAATTTTTTTTTTTTTTTGTACCAGGGATTGTACCTAGTGGCACTTTAGCACTGAGCCACATCCCCAGCCCTTTTCTATATAGATACATTTTTTTAAAAAACAGGGTCTCACTGAGTTGCTTAGGGCCTTGCTAAGTTGCTGAGGCTGGCTTTGAATTCATGAACCTCCGGCCCCAATAAAATTATTAATGGTCGTGTTTGAGAAGGAACCACACAAGAGACAGCTTTTTACTTTTCCACCCTTTACATGTGTCTTGATGGATACTCTAGTTTACAAAGTGAGTTCCCCATATGTTTTCTTAATCATTCCTTCTTTAAAACAAACGAGTCAGAGAAAATAAAACAAAAACGGAAACGAGGTACCAGGGTGGACTGTGGTCATCATCCACCCTTTACAGATGGGAATTAAGTTGCTAGGTAAAGTAATTTGCCCAGAGTCCCCATCTTGCAGTCAGTCAGCCTGGAGGTGGTGTGTAAAATCCATTTGTCTGATTCGGTGCAGTGTTTTGCAAGTGCCCACTGTATGCCAGGCACTGTGCCAAGCACTCGGGAACCACAGATGTGCAACTCTCCCCAACTCTCAGCACCCAGTAACCCCCTGGCTGTCCTTTGCCTGAGCTAGAAAGGGCAGGGTAGACCCAAAGCCCCCGCAGACCACACCCACCTGGGTTTTGCTGTTCTAAAATGACTCCTACTTCTCCCCCTGTGCTTCTGGGAGGTGTGAGTTCGAAATTAGATCAGATCCTGCTGCAAAGCTGAAAATCCCAGAGGCTGCCCACACCATGGATCCAGATGTCAGTAGAGACAGGAGCAAGGACACAGCTCAGGACTGTACCTGGAGGACACTCCTGATGTTCTGAAAGGAGACTTCAGGTGCTGGGGGTAGAACATCTTATTTTCTAAAGTGAATTATGAATGCTGTTCAAAGGAGACTCTGGTAGCCCCTTGGGAATGACAGAGCCCATCTCCATACTGAAGGCCCCTCACTTCTGCCTGACCCTGGCTGCCTTCGTATCAGCTCTGTGTCCTTGTTCATGGTCCCGACTCCTATGGGACCATCGTTAACTCTGTGAAGGCCCCTGTGAGAGGGAAACTAAGATCAAAAAAAAAAAAAAAATTATGAGCCTCTAAACCCCAGGCTGTCTCTGGAAATGTCCTCATCTGTTTGGATGATGTTCCCACCGGGTATTCCAGGCCATGTAGGCTAGGTTCAAGTGTAGACTTCCTCCCTCTGGCCATTCAGACCAGCATCAGCTCTGGCCCTGATTTCTGCATCCAGGGCTGCTGGTCAGGGGATGCATGATTTCTCTGCTTCTGGTAGAAGCAGCAGGGAGGGTTAGCAAAACCTCCCCTGCTTGTCCCAAGAAGGGCACCCACAGTTCACCTGCCCTTCCAGATCACTTGCCCCACCCAGTGACTGGAAGAGTATATTTGTGCCAGGGCTGGGGAAAAAAAAAAAAAAAAGCTTTTTTTTTTTCTGAGTCCTGCCAGACACTCGCAGCCAACAGGGTTTCAGAAGTGCTAAGAATTGAAATTGATTGGATCCAAGCCACAGCCAGCCACAGCAGGGGAGCCATGTGGCTCCTGAGCTGGTCTCTGCTGCCACCATCAGGATGCATGGTACCTACAGACTCCTGTTAGAAGCCTCTGGCCTGGCATGAATTGTGGTCCTCACCCACCAGTCAGTGGTCTGGGTTTTCACAGGAACGCCAGTCCGGAGGCCCTACCAGGCTCTCTTGCCTGTGTACCTGTGTCACATCCATCCTCCAGAATATTTTCTCCCTGCCCCGCCATGAGCAATGGAGGATGGGATCAGACAGGGAGGCCCCTGGCAGGTGCTGCTCATCTGCCAAGCTGAGCCTGGCAGACAGAGTTGAGCCTCCCAGCAACCCTGGATACCTGAGAGTTCATGTGCACCTTGCACCAGGGCAGTCTGACTTCCCTCCAGACTCTGGAGCATTAGGCAGCATCCTGAGTTAACCTATCATTGCACCTAATGATGGGTAGCCATGTTGGTTGTTCATGCAGACCTGCTCTGAGAATATAGGTCCCTGTGTCACTCATAGGCCTTTAGTCATTTTGTAATTCTATAAGACATCTGGGTCAGAATGACTCCTAGCAATGAAAAGAATAGAAGATGTTGGAACAGAAGGAAGGGTGGATGGGAAGCCTTTCTCCTTAGAGTTTATGGACCAATGGAAGAAGGGGGAAGGGAGAAAGCCAAGGGCAAGGTAGGGTTGTCCAGGGAATGTCACCCTGCCACAGCAGTGTCATGCGCTCCTTCTGATAGCTCTTATCAGTGCTTCCCAGCTAGCGCCCCCGCATATTCCCAACTGCCAGGCTGGGGAGCCAGACACTAAGCCCCACAACCTGGCTTCCCCAAGCCTCTGACCTCATTCCATACCCTAAGGACTCCCTGCAGGCTCCTCACTCAATCCCCAAAGGACGGAAATGACAGTCCACAGTCCTGCTCGGTCTTCACAGTGACACTACTGAATTATTCCTTCTACTCGCTGGTCTGTTTTCTCATCTGTAAATTGAGGGGCCCAGTCTGAAATATATCACAACTTTCTGTTCTCTCCAACTTCCCTAATTTGTACCCTGCATGGCTAACCCTGCTGCGCTAGAAAGATCTGGCTCATGGAATCAAACAGGCTTGCATGTCAGCCCAGCTCTTGCCACTCACCGGCTGTGGGACACAGACACTTCCATGTCTGCAACACCCACCTTGAAGACTTGTAAAACAGCAGAGATGATACGTGCAAGGACTTAGGTGAGGGTCCGCCACAGAGAGGGTGCTCACAAATGGCAGCGATTGAGTCACATTTGTTATCCATCTCTTTGCTATTAGGATTTACAGTGTGTGCCCAAACCGGCCAGGCAGAGAGCCATTCAGCAGGTGTTTAGAAAGGTTGGCTCCCTGGGGACTTGTGGGGCTTCATTTCCATCTCTTAGCCCATGGCAGATCCTTTCATCTGAAAGCATTTCCCCTCCCAGAAATTTGAACATAATATCTAGGGCTATGCCTTAAAATCCGTGACCTCCTCTTCTCCTGTCACATCTGACAAGCCGTGGATGGTTCCCCGTTGACATTCATGGGAAGCCAAGAGAGTCTGCTTAAATGTCAGCCCTGTTTGAAAACTCAAGGAATCAGGGGCCTCATTCATGTCTGCTGGCCTTGATGGCCATTGCCTCTGGTGACACAGAAAATTGAAGATGTTCAGCTAAGTGGGGGAGGAAGTGGCTGGCACCCTGTGTTTGGATGCACCTGTGAAGTTGGCGTAGCACTCTCCTTACCCAGTGCAGGTGTCCCCCAGTGTTCAGGATGACATAGGATGGCAGGCATCAACTTGAAGGTCACCGAGACCTGTGTTCAAATTGCTTTAATTAACTGGGTGATCATGATCCATATCGTTAATTCCCATGACCTTTAATTACCTCTTCCATAAATGGGATGAGCACCAATACCTTTCCAAAGTGGTTCGTGTGAGGGCTTAAATTGGCATGTAAAGTGCTCAGGTACTGGGAAAACATTACACACTCCACAATCTAAGTTGTTGT